GCCATAACGTATTATCAGAGGCCTTGCTGTTGGACGTAGTTTATCGCCATACCAAGGACGCGGATGTAGTTTATCGTCATACCCAGGACGCAAAGATGTTTATGTACCGATTAGGTTGAAATCTCCTGAAAGACCAACTGGTTTTAGAATACTGTTATAAATCATCTTATATTCATAATAATACTCACTATAGCTGTTCAATTATTACAGTTGTTTTAGAAATTTGTGATCATTGAAGCTGTGGGACAAGTTGTCTATTTAGTAGAAATTCCTTTGAACTATAATTCCCAATCATACATATCCATTGTTTTCTGCATTGGTAATTTCATTTGTTACGGGACAAGAGAAAGCAAACAGCACGATTAGAATTCGAGAATGATGCAGGCAAAATGAGGAAGAGGTGGAAGCGAAAAGATTCGAACAAGAAGGATAACAAACTGCAATAGTAAAGGCGACATTTTTATTCGACATGATTTATTTACCGGCTTTTGTGCATATTGATTGTCCAATAAAAACGCCATCTTGGGACGAGAGTCAGCGAATAGACAATAGAACGATATGCAATGATACATTTGAATGACACTCCTGGCTTTTGAAATGTTCTTGGTACTAGAACGAATGCATATGCTTTTCTTTTTTTTTTCCTTTGGCAATTTTTCTCTGGAATAATGTCTGGAATTCAGTGGTGAGTCATTGTTATTAATCCATGAGGTATTCAGACTAATATTTGCGTCATTGTTGGTTCATCATTGTACTTCAGCTCAGTCGGACTCCTATGTTAATTATTCTTTAGATTTTTGAACAGTCATTGCTATTATCACGTGATATATTCCGATTAATATTCTTATTCGGCGTTCAAAATTGATGATTTCCTATTTGAGCTGAGTTATTGCCCTTCGTTATGTGAAGCTTTCCACACTCTTTCTACCTTTTCTACTTCGTTCCTCAGCATTCTTCATTTTTTTTTTTTAATTTCCTCGTTGTTTGGATTACACAGATCGGGCTCTACTACGGATTATTTATTCACCTGTCCAAAAGAACCGGACACGTGAAACCTCTCTTGATTTGTGTCTTATTGTCATTAACAAATCTCACTATTATCGAGTTTTTTTTTCAGACAAGTATTTGCACTTTATTTATTTCCATCATTGCCTTTTCAGCAATGTGGTATCAGTCTTCAAATTATAGTACGTTAGTTAATGTTTTATTTTCTGAAATTGTTGATTATAATCCTATGGCAGTCAATTCATTTGGGTAAATATGTCTAACTGAGAAGGATACAACAAAACTAATATCTGTATATATTTTAATATACTATCAATACCTGATTTCAGCTACAGACATGATTATTATCTAGATGGATGACCGCTTGGGAATACCAGGTGCTGTCAACCTCTATGTGTGGGTGGTGTAGTGGATAATGGCTCAGAATTGTTCATCACAAATGCAATAATCAGTTTCTAAAAGTTATGAAACTTGCCTATTTTAGACACTATTTCAAACGTTGTATTGATTATTACTAATACACCTTTGTTTGACCTAGGGATCTGGATTGTGTCTCTTAGACTCTACAGCAGGCGACTCGTATTCGAAAATAACCCGTCTGCTCAGGCGGCTAGACAAAACCTATTGCAGACGCTTTCTCGGACACATTGTGTTTATTCAAAACCCACAGAGTCCATCTGTGGTGTATACTGCAACTATGCTGAGCAGACCTTAGTTACAGTTTTTTGGAAAGAGTGTGTTATCTAGTGTGATCAACAATTTGAACAAGGCCATCACGATGATCCCGAAGCCCAATTTGCATATCTTGTATAACGTATGCAATGGTATCGGTATTTATAAGTAGCTATTGACCTTTGTGGGTTTTTGCATCTTGCATCATGTGCAAAATATTACGAGGAAACCTATACACAGGAGAATTATCTAGACGCCACCAAACCAACAAAATACAAAAGACAGATGAAAGGACTCTCTGCAAACATCAAGCACATGTATCGTTATAATTTCCGTTTTTGCTTCTTAACAATCTGCTTTGTTCATTTCGCTTTAAGCGAAACCATTTCTATTTATCGGCATATGGTACGTTGGGATGCGTTTTCTGTTTCCTGAGCATGCATGTATAGCTGGTCATTCGAATTCGAGAATAACTGTCTACTAGGGCGGCTGGTCAATCCCTATTGCAGATGCTTCCTAAGGTGCATCTGTGTTTATTCAAAACTTTTGGTTTATACTGCAAATATACTGAGCAGACCTTAATTACAGTTTCTGGGAAAGAGCGTTATCAACAATTTGACCAAGGCCAGCACGAATCACAAACCCCGACGGATTCTAACCGTGCAAGCACAGCTATCAACGGCCCCCAGGGGTTCCGTCTTTCTAGTTCCAATGGATGTCAGTTATCAGTTATCTCCTAAAGGACACATGGCACAGTGGATGAAGGCATTTGTTAGATCCAGTGACAGGACCAAAAGTGTGTGAATTCAATACCTGGTTAAGG